ATTTCACGTAGTTTCTTCCCCTATGCCTCAGTGCTTCAAGTTGTTTGATAACTGTCATTGTTTGACCAAAATCATTTGCATGCTTGTGTATTCACTCTTCTGAATTTGAAAAGCTTGTCTTATTCATTATTAATTCTCTAAGACATATAACTTGATCCATTGTGAAAAGTGATTTAAGAACGAATAAATCTTATCACAATTAAAAGACAATATTCTTGTATCCCTTCCTTACCCTACACATCTATTAGCTATAATCAATTTTAAAAAATTGCAGTTATATGGTCATTGTGTGTGTGTGCCAGGGTGTGTTCATTCATGTGTTACAGTTTATGTGGAGAGATCAGAGGTCAACCTGAAGGAACCGATTCTCCCCTTTAACATGTATGGGCTCTGGGTTGAGGTCTAGCACCTGCCTCAGACTTGGTGACTAGTACCTTCACTCTTTGAGGCATCTCATCCACACATTTTTAACACATATATTTGTTGAATTGCACAAGACCACACGTTGTGTTGTCCAGTAAAGCTGTACCCCACAGAGAATGACAGGAAGCACTGTTTGATCATACTGTGCCAACAATCCCATTCTTATTCCCTTTAAATAGGTAAGCTTATAGAGCATGAAAAGAGCAACTTTTCATTGTTACTATTTGATAGCTTTTTGTGGGTTGGTATTGTGTGTGATTTTGGTATATGAATATGAATGTGAGTATGTGCCTGTATATGCTTATCTTGAGGTCAGAAACAATACTGTATGCCCTCTTCTATGTCTGTCCACATTAGTTTTTGAGACGAGGTCTCTAACTGAACTTATAATTCACTGATTGGCTAGGCTGGCATACCACTGAGCCCCAGTGATCCTTTGTCTCTACCTCCAAGCATATGGAGTAAAGATGTACATTTATGTCCTACTTTATCCTGGTGCCTGAGATCCAAGCTTAAGTCTTCATCCTTACACAAAAACACATAACCTACTGAGCCATCCCGTTAGTACCAGATTTGTGCTTTAATGGAAATATCTCGCCAGCATTCAATGCATATCTGATCTAATTGGGATAGGTATATTTATATTTCATAAATATTTTTAACTTTTAAACAGTAGATCTTAAAACTATTAACTTTAAAAAATGGCATTTATTTTAGTTAAAACAGGATACTTTACTATTTACTAAAATGTGAGGAAACCACATCTTTATTGAAAATGTTAGCAGCGCAGACAAAATGCTGTTTTGTTTTTTTCCCTTCAGGATATTTTCTCATCTGAAATAATCAGAGGACAAAAAATCCCCACTGGCTTAGAAACTTCAATGAGTATGCATGTAGAACTTAAAACAACAAAACATATTTTTCCCCACAAGTCTATTGTGGAATAAAAATAAATAATTCAGGTTTATGCTACAGGCATTCTGTTCTATGTGATTGAAATGGAGATTTAGGTTAAATCAGAGATGATGATTTTTGGTCACTTTTTCTTTAGTTGCTTTGATGTTACCCACTGTCTCTTGTTTTCTTCAGCCTTTATTGTCATATTTGAAAGCTTGCATCTGTTTACTTACATGCACAAGCAACTGAGTGGCAGCAAAGATCTATGATTTATTATAAACAGGAACTTAAAAACATTTTTCTCCACTTTTCTGTTACACCAAATAAAGTACATTGTCATTACCACAGCTTGACTCTTCTGATCAATATATGAGTTGCACTTTCTATGCAAACATAACATATACACACATGACGTGTGCATATATTAAGCATGTATATGTATACTTAACCCCGTTAATTGTACTCATGGATTGAAGTGCATACCCCCAAACCTCTACTCCATACAAACCGATTATATAAATGCATGTGCTTAGCTTAAGCAATGGCAAAGATTTGTATTGATAAATCTTCTGGCAGAATACTGAAAGGAATAAAAAAAAAAAAACACTCATTTAATGAATTATTCTCATGGTCTTCAAACATGTTCCAAGAGGAAATGAACTATAACCAGAGAAATTTCAGAGAGTCCTATGGATATGACCATTCTGATTGGGTTTTAAAAAAGTACTTTTAAAAATATCAGTATCAAGGTCCTAATTACTCTATTTGAATATTATTTTGAGATTTTTGTGAAAACAACTGTGCTTTTGAAATTGACAATCCCTCTATCACACATAATCCTACCACAGAGTAATGAGAATGCATGGATATAATTTTTAAGGGAAGAATTTATTACATTGGGTTTTTATCCATGTAAGTACTCATTTAGTTTGGAAATCTCTTCACAAAATTGCTACAACTGCAGCCAGCTGATTATTTCAAGATGTTCAATTCAAACTTTGGGACTGATGTTGTCAGTTATCACAAATTTTAGTGCTGGAATTGATCAGTGGCATTATTTGGTCCAGTGCTTTTCTTTGGCAGATGAGTTGATGTAAATTAATTATCTAAGAAAGTTTGTGGCATAGAGAATGAAAAACAGCCATTAGCATTCAAGGAAAGAAAGTGAAGCATGAAGACATTAAATAAGTTGCCAACTTTATTAGAACTGGTTAGGAGCAGCTGGCTTTCATATTTAATCTGACAATATCTCACTGCCCTATGCTGTCTTTATATTGTTGATGTTTTCAAAGTGTTACCTGGACTTGGAAAAAGTAATTTTATAGGGAAGAAATATTTCTTGACTCCAGATAGCCCTCTTATTGCCATGCTATTTTGACAGGGAAGCCAGGGCTCTAAATAATGACATTGCTTAACAGTTTTGAATTTTGTGGAACTGAACTCAGCAAAGAAAATGACAACGCCACTGCAATGTGTGTGTTTAACAAGCTTCATTTGGGTTGTAATATTTTGACTTTGAAACACATAATAAGATCTTTTTTTAAACACGATATATTTATAGGTTTAAGTGTAGCTTCTAGCATTACTGACTAAACAAATGTAATTGCTTTGAATGGCCTCTAAAAAGCTCCCAACGGTTCATTACGAAGCAATTACATTGTAATCTTTTCCAGAGCTCTCAGCATGGCTTTTTAAAAAAGAAATTACTCAAACAGGTGAAATCAGCTATTATGAAATATCACCTACAAATCTGAAGAGCCAAGCTGCTGAGTGGCAGTAGAGTTGGGTGGATTTACGACAAGTGATAAACACGTTTAGTTTTCAAAGTAACCAAGCCAGGAGTGTTTATTAGTATGTTTGATTTTGAGTAAGGTAAATTTACTTATAATTCTTAGAACCCTGTTTAGCATTACATAATGTTTTGGATAGTGCATACAGTTTAAGTCTTGTATTGATCCACACTGAAAAATAAATTCATTCAAGTATTTAAAGCAACATATGACTATTTGTGTGTATTTTGAAAGGAGTAATTGGAGCACTAGACTCTGGTGGAAACTTACACGTGCATTCGCACAGCAGTCCTACATGGAGATTCTTCCTATTGACGTCTTTCTTCTGTGTGTGAGAGACCAGGACACAGAAGATTTAAATGATTTGTACTAAAAGCAGCCATTCGTGGAAGGAAATAAGTCAATTAAGGTATTTTGATTCTCTAATCCTTGACCTTGCTCACTTTAATTTTCCATATTTTTGAGTCAAGACTCTATCTGTAGGTATTACTCTTGCCTGAAACCTAGAAAGAAAATTAAGGTTTTCTTTTAAAATAAAATAATGTGTAACCAGGTTTAACTTTATAGGATTCCACTGTATTCATTTGCGGGCAATGCTTCCAAATATGACCATACAAAACTGAAGGTTTCTGCAATGACACAGTTCAGAGGAGTTGTAGGTAGTCAGGATGGGGCACAGAACAGAGAGCTTCAGGCATATGACGGGATTCCCACAATTTTTGTGAGAACATGACCTGCTAAGCAAACAGGACAATGCTTATCAGTCTTTCTGAGAGTCAGATTGCTGCCTTTTATTACATTTTTGAAAGGACAGAGGATTCAAGTAATACCTAAAACAAGAGCAGGCAAACTTTCACTAAAGGGCAAGATAAATGGATCTTAGGACTTGAGCTAGTAGTGTCTCTTTTCACCACAGTGCACAAAGGTGGTGGCAAAGCAGAGGACACTGCAGGAATGGAGCAATACCCCAATAGCAACTCACTTAGATACTTGTAAATTCAGACTCCGCAATACTACTGTTTTACATGTTACAAAAACTACAATTAATTCAGTAGTATTTTCAATTATTTAAAATTGTGTCAAAAAAAAAAGCTTTCTTAGTTTGATAACAAGACCAGGCAGCAGTATGCCCACTTTGGCTCTGTGGATGGCTCTTCACAGCATACAGGCATCTAATTTTTTTAAATTTAATTTATTATTATTTTTTAATTTATTTTATATAACAAAGTCCAATTAAATGAAAACAAACATTTATACACAATATTTGGGAATTTGGGCATTGTTCTTTCCAAACTACTTCCTTACAGGCATCTAATTGAAAAGTTTGGAAATGCAAGTCGTGGGCCTCTGTAAATCTATTGAGCTAGAAACTGAGAGCAATGGACCTACTGTCTGTGTTTTGAATATTATCTTTGAGAAAAAGACACACTAAAGTTTGAGTCATTGCTTGATAACTATAATTTATACTTATTTTGAGAAATAAATTATATTTTACCACTTTAGGATGGAGGAAGTATAATGTTTCCTCTTTTAAATGCTAGAACAATCTTCAATAAGATCTCAGCTTCCTGAAATTTACCTTGAAAATACACCAATTATTATTACTATGTAAGAACTCATAGATATTTTACACACACACACACACACACACACACACATATATATATATATATATTATGTATTTACAACTAGGTGCAATCACATCATGCCCATACACACATACCTGGCACAGAATATCACAAAGCAACAGGAATTTTCAATGTATGTAATGTCCTTCCATATATTTTTTCTATTCATCTTCTATGGGATTCAACTCAATCTATTGTATCCATATTGCTGTTATTAGATCACATTCCACGGAGGAGAAATGACACAATGAAATGTACTTACCAGGGCAAATTCTTTGTTGAGAATCATCTGCTCGACTAGAGAGGACTCATTGTGGAAGAGGTGGGGCTGCATGTGGCTCCACATGTGAGGGAACCACCAGAACTCGTCCACAGACCCCAACAGAAGGTCATCTCCTTTATCTTCCTCTTCAGTCCCTGTAAAGTGTTAAGTGAAAATGCGTTCAATGGCGGCCTGGATGTTGTAAGCTTTATATTTAATTCTTCATGCTATCTTTTAAACAGAAAAAGAATGAGTTTAGTCTAAATGACATCAGAGACAAGGGTCACGAGTACAGTGTGATAGATACTGCGGATCAAAGAGGCAGTTCAAGACTACTCACTATTGATATTGATGGTGTTGGCAATTGTAAGCACACACTAGAAACAATATGTATGTATGTATTATGTATGTATGTATGCATACACACACACACACACATATAATTCACCATGATTTCTTGCTGTATAAGGGAATTTGATTAGAGAGGATCACTTCATTTTTTTCTTCAAAATTTTTCTGCGTATGAAATTGAATTGAGAAATTGATAAAGTTTGGTAATTTTTTTCTGATTATAAAAATGTCATATTTTTGAAGGAATGTGGAAAATATAAGGAATCTATAAAGGAAAAGTAAAATATAAATACAGCAATTACAAAATTATCATTTAGAATGAACTCTGGGAACTACTTTTGTATTCTTTAAAATCTCTGAGTGCTTATTTTAAGGACTGAAAAGTTATCTTGTAAGTACTTTTGCTTCTTTATATTTCAAGTTAATGCTATACACATAAATTTCCAATTTCAATGCAACGTTGTTTTCATTTTGTTTTAAAATAAAGTGTATACAAACCCTAGCATTTTCATAAAACTTTGATAATGAATCTTAAACTTATTTCTTAAAGAAACCAGATTTGAGAATTAGTTGAAAATTACTGTATCTTTTTCATTATAGAAAGAGTTTCCAGCCCAATGCACATGAATACCACTGTGATACCCTAACTGAAAGCAAAATGGAAAAAAATTTCTAAGGTATTCATCATATTTCAGCTATCCAGAAATACTTTTGCTCTCTCTCTTTCTCTCTTTTTAATATATATATGGAGTTGTCATTCTGTAAATATGTTTCTCTTATTGCTTATGAATAAAGCACTGCTGGCCAATAGGAAAGCAAGATAGGCAGGACTAGGAGACAAGGAGGATTCGGGAAGTAGTAGGGAGGAGTTTCAAGATGGAGGACCAACAGAGTAGAAATCCAGGTCTCTCTTTCTGGTAAGATAAGACCATGTGGAAATACTGGAAATACTTAGATTGATAGAAATAGCTTAATATTTAAGACAGAGCTAGCCAATAAGAAATGCTAGTAACAGGCAAACACACACACACACACACACACACACACACACACACACACACACACACATATTGATTTAATAAAATTCAGGTAAATTTTTAAAATGTTCTGAATTTAGTCATACAGTAATTGATAATATTCTCAAAACACTAAATTGTATAACTAGTTTAAAAATGTTGTGGTTTCTAGTGTGCCTTTGTTCAATTTATTCTTTACTAAGGCAATAGGTGGGTGTTCAATTTTCTGTTCCTTATTAAATTAGGAACTATGTATTAATGCTATTTTAAATGACTCATAAAATGTCCCTTTTGCATGTTGTTTGAAAAGATTTCTTCAATCATGGAAGAAATGTATGAAGTGGGTGATGCATTTTGGATTCAGTTCCTGGAACAAAGTCCCTTCTTTACTATGTAATTAGCTCTGATTTTGGAGAGGTCCAATTCTATGTCCCAGTTTCCTGGTTTAAAGCAAGGACAAATCCTTTTGCCATGAGGTTTTAGAAAAAGGTCAATGAGATCAATTGATGAAAACACTCCATGGTGTATCTTCCAGATAGAAGTCTGTAGACTGCCTACAGCTCCAGAAAATCAAGTCAGCTGATATTTAATTGCTTTGCTTTTAATTGACATATTATTTTGCACATTCTTAAACATCTGGCTTTCATAGATCATACCTTTTAAATCAAAACAATGAATCTATTAAGCTTCACTGTAGCATGCTTACTTTCCTAGGACACTGTGTACACAATAACTTAATTCTGCCTTTGTGAAAATAGTCAATAACCTTAGCAGTCTCTTATTATACAGAATTAAAGAGCCAAAGTCTAGAGAGTTAGAAAATTCTGTGAAAGAGATGAGTAGACAACAGTCATAATTTCCATAAGTTGTCTAAAATTGTTAGAATCAGACTCCCAATTCATTGACATGTTAGTTTATTAAGACTATCGAATGTTGAAATCCAAGCTAAGACTCATTTATCATTTCCACTGGTGAAGTTCTTATGCTACAGGTGTTTTTATCTCCTTAATTAAACAGACTGAGCCACACATTTGAAAAAGTCACTTATGTCATAAGTGATGAAAGAATTGCTAATTACCCTTCCCCCCAAATAAAACCAGACTGTTTTTCTCAGTGTATAAAGTTTTTAGGAAATATTTTCTTTTCCTTTCAGCTCTACTGATCATTATCGTGTGTGGCAGGAAGCACAGAATACTTCCTTAACCAGAAGCAAGGTCAATTGCTCAATTTGTAGAATATTGACATAATCAGTTGAATGGGTAATCATAAAATATCAGCAATTTCATATCAGAAATTGTGTAAATTGACAAACTCTCTAGGCAATGTTGAATGTGACATTTTTAAGCATCTTGTTTTTTAAATATCATAGAGTATTTTCTGCCAACCTTTCTGTTATTTTATGTTGGTCATATAATTCAAAGCAACATAAGCTTGACCCCTGATAGAATATAGCTTAATGAAAAATAGGATAGCAAGTCATGCTGGTAGAACACAGTAGAATTTTAAGTAATTTCCATTCTAAGTGAAAATGCCATATTTTGGTCATCAAAACACACAATTTTTCAATACTTATGTGTACTTACATAAGTTACAGACTAAAATGTTTTTTGTAGTTCATAAGGACCATATAGATTCCAGTAAAAGATATTACATTAGCTATGTTCCAATTAAACCTTTGACTTCTAAACTAAGCCAAAATTATGTCTAAATGATTATAAATATAAAATAAGGTAGGTACTGTTCGGCTTAAAATATGATACATTTCTGTTTCCTAGAGCACATGTTTTAAGTCAGAGTGGAGTACACAAAAGGTTAAGCTTCTTATCAATTTTGCTGGACCAATGCTTTGAGATAATGACATACTTCTGAAATCTCACTAAATCTATCAACATAAGGTTTTTGATTCTGCCTTTTTCATTGCTAACGATTGAACTATAAACACAAGGCAAGTGCTCAACTACTAATTTATGGTCATGGCCTCAAATAACCAATGCTTTTCCTCAAAATTAACAATGGATTAACAGATGTATATGTAAAGTTGTAAGAGTAAAATAAGATTCAAAACATTCCATTGGCTGTTTAACCTCTTTTGCACAAAATGTGCTCATTAGGCATGAGATTTATAATTTCTAAACGTGAAGAAATAATTTTTCTTACATTTTGTTTTTATTCAATACATGACATGATCTCCTATAGGTGAATAAAAAGAGAATGAAAAAAAAAAAAGGAAAAGGAAACATTACTGCTCTTAGTTATAGTGGAGGAGAAACCTTATTATAGACTTGTGGGAATGCACAACCAGAAGAAGACACATTTGGGAGAGTCCAGAATGGACATGACCAGATTAGGCCATATGAGGAGAGGGGAGTTAGGAAGGGAGGGGAGAGCAGGGACAAAAAACAGGAGGCCCAAAAGTAGAAAGAGGGCAGGTAATCAATATGGTTGGTTAATATAGGGAAGTGCATCCCAAGGCCTGGGCAGGATAATTTTAGAGCAGGTGGTGGGTTACGTTAGAGAGGAGGACCTCATCACAGGTAGGATGCAGGTAGAATCTGTCTGGCCATTTCTACTTTGATATGTTAAACAGGCACCTCAGTCATATTGTCCCAGGTTTGAAACATTACAATAAACATCCATACTAACCACCAAATGAATCTTGTTAGTGAATAAATGCATATTAAGAGATACCCACTATCTCCAAATTAGAAAACAGATCTAAATTAGTATTCCATAAATCTTTATACTCATACAAAATACTTTCAAAAATACTAATAATAAATATTCACCACTTTATGTATGGAAGGTAATATTATCACCATTTGTAGATGTGGAAACTGAGGTATAAAATGATTACATACTTTGTGTGTGTTTACACAGTTGGTGAAATGTCAAAGCCTTGTTTCAACACAACCTATCTTCCTCTAACTGGTGGTCTTTTAATCCACACTGTATATAGAGAAGTAAAGAAAATCACAAAACTATGACAGCAATTTTCCTTCTTTCATTTTTGAAGTTAACACGATTTTTAATTAAACAAATTTTTAGGAAGTAAAACTGACAAACAGGAAAGCAGTCTTGTACCAATTTCCAAACGTTATTCATGACAATTATTGAGTGGATTAGTTCTAGTTGATTACCAAAATATAACATCAATAATTCTCTCTAGCAATCATGTCCACTGAGAAATAAAATGCTCAACACTCCTAGAAGGTGGACTCAGATGTAGGGTTTATATTCTGTGGAGCTTTCATGTTTCATTTTCAATCAACATGTAAACATTTTCAGACTAAAACAATTCATTTTTTTCTTTTTAATCAGCCCCTGTATCCTGGTTTCAATCTGATACTTGTGGCCGAATGACTTTTAGAAAAGTTTAGTAATATGTCATTTTGGGGTCAGATTGGCTTTAACATGAAGGTCAGAGAGGTGGACAGGAAATAACACTTGATAAATACAAACAGTGATGCAGTCTAAACCATGCAGACCTAGACACCACTACACTTGAAACATGAGATCAAATGTTTTCAGAACAGTGAAGCTTATGTATCAGCATCCTCATGCACTGGGAGCTCAGACTATCCTAGGAAAAAAAACAGAGCACATCACAGACACAAGAGCACAGAATGAATGCGATTCCCTGGCTTTCAAAAACCTACTTTTCTATAATGTTAGATCTCCAGATAGAACTGTGACTAGACAGAGATAATGAATGCCTCTATGATAGAGGCCATCATAGCATTCTGCACTTGAGGAAATGTATGAGGCTTAAATGCATTGGTATGAACTCA